GCGTGCGTAGGAAATTTTTTGAAATTACTACGTTCCCCAACAAGCACCTCTCCCATTGCAAAAAAATAAATCTAGTTGGCCAAACAAAATCAGTAGATCAGAAAGAAATACAAAGCTATCTTAATCATTCATAAAAGATTTTAGATAAGACTCAAACAATATTCATAGTCCTGATCATAAATCCACAATTCATCGGCTGTCAACAAACGCACCGCAAAAGAAGATTACATCGAATAGATATCCAAGAACATCGAGGAGACCATTGTATTGGAGATCAAAGAGAGACAAGAAGCCATCTATCTACTAGCTATGGACCCGTAGGTCTGTGATAAACTACTCTCACATCATCGGTAGGGCAGCAAGGTTGATGTAGAGGCCCTCTGTGATAGAATCCCCCTCCGGCAGAGTACCAAAACAGGTCTCCAGATGGGATCTCACGATGACAGAAACTTGCAGCGGCAGAAAAGTATTTTTGTTGTGCCCTTTGGTATATGGGGAATATTTGAGAATTTATAGACCTGAGATTAGGGTTGGAAGAGCTCAAGGAGGCCCACAAGCCCTGGAGGCGCGCCCCCTAGGGCGCGGCCTCTCGACTTGTGGCCACCTCATGGCTCTTCTGGCCTCCTCCCGAAGCTTCTCGTGGGTGTCTTCTTGTCCAAGAAAAATCGTTAAAATTTTTCATTTCATTTGGACTCCGTGTGGTATTGATTTTTTGTAAAAGATAAAAACAAGGAAAAAACAGTAACTGGCACTGGGCACTAGATTAATAGGTTAGTCCCCAAAAATGATATATAATAGCATAATAATGCATATAGAACGTGCAAGATGGATAATATAATAGCATGGGACAATAAAAAATTATATATACATTCGAGACATATCAACTTGCACCACATCCTAGCCTCTCTCTATCTCTCCACTGGCTCTCCCATACCGTTCCAAGAATATTGTTGGATTTGAGTTTTCTGCTGCAACATGGTAACAGAGAAAGCAAAGAACAGAGTTTAATGTCGTATATTAATAGGAAAACTGAAGGTAGAGCTTGCATACAAAGGATAATAGATACATGGTGAAGGTTGAGCTAACAGGCTTAACTACTGTATGAATGGGTACCCACCTCAGCAGATACAACAACTACATTAAACCAATGATCACATTTTAGGGCCTCTAAAAGTGTCCAGAGATGGGTTTTAAAGTTGGACAATAAAATTGTTCTTACACCAACCCTACGCAATGATTCAAACATATATTTAGAATCAGGGTAAATGAGCTGCCACCAAACATGTGCTTAGCATCTCTGGTTCAGTTAGCAAATGAGTTGGTTCACCTTAGAATATAGCTGTTTTAGTACTCTTCTATTTCTAAGTGCATATATTTTCTTTGCATAACGGAGCGGCTGAATGATCATACCTTGGTAAATTTGACTGCACATGGTACCTTGTGCCTGACACTACATATTTTGCTTTATTTTGTAGATTGGTCAAAAGTGGCAAAAAATAGTGCACCAAGTTTCGTAACCGTAAACATAAAATGAACAAGATCATTGATAACATTAGGGTAGGATCTGAAATAGGTGAATGAAGGATCCACATTTAAAGGTGGCTCATTCTGATCCAGGAGGAGCCATGGCATTGTACAAACCTCCTTGCCAATTTAGAATCAATCATCAAAAAATTGCAGCCACCAAGATAGCTTTGATGGCATGTTGGTTGAATGCTGCATTGATGTTGTACTCGTTCAACCTTAATATTTCCCTACATGAACCTTATTCAGTACTCACAAAACTACGTCTACTTACTTTTCCAAGTAGGCACACAATGTATATTCTGCAGTCCATCTTTCCAACAAATCAACATTTTAAACACCCTTTGTAGAATATAACCTTTCTCCTTCTCAAGATATTACTTCAAGTGCGGCTTAGTGCTTTCTAGCATAGAAGTGGGCATGCGGACCATCACTTTAACAAGGCCACAGTTGGTATTTTTTGCAGCCGACACAATTATGATAAGCACTGTGCAAATTATCTCTAATAAAAATAAGAGTGAACTTATACATGCACTTGCATGCGACTCGGCTTCCTATTAACATGACTTTTCACATGGTGTATGATCCCTTCTATATTAAACTTAGAAACGCGACCGCCATACTAAATTTGCGAAGTTACATACAACTGATTTGTCTAATTTTCTCAGGCTAACATTCTTCTAAAGATCCAAGGAAAATAGATAACCATCAAGAATTGTGATCTAGTTACAATTTTACATAGTGCTTACTAGGAAATGCAAATCTCAAATATCAAAGAAACAAAATTTTAAAGTCTATATCATGAACTATTTCCGCATCTATCAACACATCAAGACACAAACCTTTTATATTTTAAATAAGAAGGTATGAAGGTAAACTAAAATCATGAATTTACCTTGGATATCATGTGCGTAGAGTGCAAATAATTGAGAGGAGGGGTTGGGGCCGCATGAATTCACCTTGGCAATGTTCCAGCGTAGTCGGCAATGTTCCAGTGAAGTTGGTGGAGACGGTGAGATTGGAGGCTTCTGGCATATGGCTATTTCGAGCACGTGAGCTTGCATTGAATCTAGGTTTCGGTAGAGAAGCTCGACACCTTTTTATGGCAAAGGAGGATGGTTCAAGCAAAGTTTGTGTCAGCCATCCCTTGGCTGTGTGCTCGAGCACTTCTTCGCCTGGACGGACACATCACATGGACTCCGATCCGAGTCCTTCTCTTGAGCGGACACAACACATGGACAGTGGGAGGACAGAGGTAGAGTAGGTACATAACAAGATTTCCAAAGTCTTGTAAATATCTCGATAAATATTAGCTCGTAATATCTAAACCACGATTTGAAATTTCTCCAGCAAAAAATGCACACCAATAAATAACTGAAGCTAAATTGTAAAATGCTAGCAGCAGATGTAGTACTTTGATATTCTATACTTTGTATGGCAATACGAAAATAATTCATGATGAATCAACTCAAATAATTGGATGGAATCAAAGTTGCACAAATTTTTGTTCAAAGGTGAGAAAGAACAAACAAAGCATTTAATCAAAAAAATTAGTCAACAACCCTTGCACAAATTTCAGTTTTACAAAGTACAATAGTTAATTTTGCATACAACAAGATGGCAACATCCCGGAAACAAGGTTGTGTCTGTGTTCATCTAAAGTCCAATTGTCCCACGATGAAACCACGAAACAATCAAGGTTTCAGCAGCAACATTGCCAACTCCACAAGCTGCTAGATAGAATGCCAATGGCTAGCCCAATCCTCCGGCATCGGCCACCTCTGGTCCGACCACTGGGATGATTAACGATGACTCGGAACAGAGAAGGGGAGGCGGGTTTGCATTACCATACTGTAGCGGCGTCGTGTTGTTGCCCGGGCGGCATCGGTCCAGGTCCACGATAAGGCATATGTGCAAAGTCGGTTGTCGATGCACCGGTGCCGTCGTTCGACACAGGGTGCCAGCGAGGATTGGGGTGTAGGCGTCCGTCGCCGCTCCAGGTCGTCCCGTCCATCGGTGATGGTGCGGTGACGGCCCTGGCAATCAGTGCCTCGACATGCATGGGGTGGCGGCGGAGTAGAGAAGGGCCGGCATCTGCAACGCGGGGAGGCGAGCGTGAGGGAGGCGTCCGCGTGAGGTGGAGCCTGGCAGTCCAGCGGGAGACATGAAGAAGATGATGCGATGTCTCGCGGGAGGCAACGTTGCCCTCTCCTATTTTTTTGTTGGGAGGATGAAAAAACCAACACGAGAAGATGTTGGTGTGAGGTGAAACGAAAATAAGCAGATGAGAAAAAATCAGACGAAGGTGGGAGGTCAGACGAAAAAAATTGAAACGGAAACTACCAACTGCTTCATTAGGAGTACAAATAATGAAAGCGTATGGAGAGATATTCTATATTGATGTGTTTAGGGGCTTGTAGCAAAGTAGAAATGTCCCTTAAAAATTACCAGAAAATGGGATAACAGATACTAGTACATTTCAAACTTTCATTATAGAGGATGCTCTAACTTCTCCTCTCTCTTTTCTTGCGTGTGTGCGGGCGCGTTCTGGTGAGCTGTAGCTCAACTGCACTTGCAAGTGCAACTGACGATGACATATGTATGATGCGCAATCCATGAGCCTTGCGCTTGTGTGGTCACCAGCATCTACCAGTCAGTGCCGTTTGGGATCGTCTCAAGTTGGTGCTTGGGACTGGTAGTACGGAACACCGGCAAGATGGCGGTGTTCCGTTCCTGGCATCCTTGCAGTTGAGCTCCAGGACAATCATGGTCTCTAGAGCCGTGCCGCCGCCATCACCGTGGAGGTCAGACGGCCCGGTCATCTCCCTCCCCTTGCCCCAAAGCACCATATACAACCTAGCGACGATGAGGGAAGAACCGATGGCACTGCAAGGACATCAAACGACCACAACAGCCAAAAGTTAACAGGGGTCGCGTGAGCTGTGTCTGTGTGTAGTTTGCGCGCAGTGGTACCTTCCGACGTGTATCTTCTCCTCGAGGATGGCCCAGCCGACCACAGCCACGACCACGAGCATCAGCGGGCTGAACATGGACACGAACAGCGGGCCGCGGGACTGGATGCACCACGACATGACCGTGAACGCGATCCCGGAGCCAACCACCCCCTGCATAATTCAATCTCATCAGGAAAACATGGTTGGATCAATTAGGTCGTCACGACACGATGGATGGATGAGCTTACGACGTAAAGCGCGGCGTATAGCCTGATGTCAAACCCAAGCTTCCACGCCGACACGCTCCGGTCCATGACAGCGCTGACGCCTGCGCACTGCACCCCGGCCATCAGGGACATGATCGTCGTGCTGGTGTAGGGCGCAGAGAACCTTTCCGACATCTTGCTCTACAGATCGACCATTATCAAAAACTAACCGCCTACACCAACAATGCATGATTGCTGGAAACAAGCTTGGTCTTGGTGAAATGATGGTGCGTACCTGGAGGATGAACCAGACGGCCTAGGCGACACAGCTGAGGATGATGAGGACGTCACCGACGATGGCGGCGTTGCCGCTGGGAAGTGCTGTCGCGTCAGTCGCGTGCTCCGCGTAGCGCCAGTGCATCGGGGATGCCCACACCTTTAGTAGCGGACCCTTGTAGAAGGGCATGATCATGGAACCGCCGACGCACACGACGGTGCCAAAAACCTTGGCCTGCCCGGAGGGCGTCCCGAGCCTCACTGTCTCCATCTTGAGGACGACCGCCATGACAAAGGTTAATGCCGGGAGTGTGTTGCTGAGCGCGCACGCCACTGTCGGCGTTGTGGACTTGAGCCCCATGAAGTACAACACCTGGTTCAGCGTCGCGCTGCATCACTCACACACACCACGCCTAATAAATAAATTAATTAATGTAGGCATGGCCAGGCCAGTACGTCACGGAAGATGATGGATATGGAATTATATCACGTCAACTCTGTCCTACGTTACATATGTCTGGTTTGCACTTCAAAATTGCCAATGTTGCACGCAATATAATTCCTAAATATTTTGTTTTCTTTTTTGGATTTTGATTTTTTTATCTGACGACCTAAAGCATCATAATTGAGTAGATTCTTCTTTTTTGGAAGGGTAATTTCAGTAGATTCTATAATATCAGATTTCGTCCCACGATCATGTTTCCACCGGTTTGTGGCTGTCCCAGACAAAGCTTGGGCTAGCCTAGAAGAAATGAGGCAGAGTTGATGACATCCCAAATATCTCAGAAAGTTTGCCAATATTATAACGTGGTATAAGTTGTGTTACTTGATACTTAAAACACCTCTACGCAAACAATAATGTGTTTATTAGAGAAAAATAAAGGGAGGAAGGTAGAGATCCTTTGTAACATTTAGTCTTCCTCCTGGCTACTCTGGGCCGCGAGATGAAAACTGTATTTTTTGTTTTTGTTGCACTTTAGCCCGCAAAAGGCATCAGCCTTTGCTGTTACCAAGAACATGTGGTTTTATTATATATAATGGAGCCAGGGATTTGGTCATTTTCTTCTAAAAAGATCCTTTGTAACATCTTAAATCATCTAAAAACCGATTTGGTAGTGTGCTAACTGGAACTAGCAGCACTATAAACTCTTTGGTTAATGTTCTCTCCGTAAAAAAATATACGCTCTTATATTTCATTGCAGAGGGAGTATTTTTTTATTATCGGCAACAGAAAGCAGAGAGTAAGGGCATGTCCCCTATTCCTGGACGTATAAGGCACCTGTGTAGTGCACAAATCAGGAGCTTAACCTGAGAGGAAAAGAAAAGGAGGTTCCTAGTAATTGGGCTCCTTTGATGACACCAAGAAAAGGACTAGAGCAAAACGAGGACGTTTCAGTGTTTATTTTTTTAACTTTTTTCTCGAATAAGCACGAGAGTGTGTATCATTCATTAAAGGGGGGGGGGGGGGAGGTGGCTACCTACCTGTCTGTTGTTTGTTTGAAGGAGCATTCCTGCAAGTTAGGCATTTGCCATGTCCTAACTGATGAAGGAAGACTAGCTGTTGGAATTAATGATAAGTTTGTCGTACGTACCCAAAAATAGAGGAAAAGAATATCTGGGTTAGTAGTTTCTTGGTGATCACCATGCCACTCCTCCTGCAACCATCCATGTAAGCCGAATTCATTAAGACTGCTATAAGTATCTATCTTGACTCAAATAAACTTATATACATCCTGTCAGGACCCCGACTCGATGTCACATCGATCTAGCCGGTAACACCTCATATCACTTTGCGTCCTCACGCACGGTATCCCCACGGGTGTCGCCTTACCTTTGCCCGGGACCGTTTGCGCCTTTTGGCTCACGTATATGATAGTGTCGCTAGCATCCATATGATAAGGAGCCCGGGCTGACATGACTAGTCGTAAACCCAAAGTGGCACAGACTTACAGGGACAGGCATCCATGACCCAGCTTCGAACGTGTCGGTCATCAGCAAGTGGGTCCGGGCTGTAGCACTGGGCTAGCAGGACTCCGGTAAACCGGGCTGTAGCGGGCTAACAGGACTCCGGTACTCAATGCGTGACATTTCCCCGAAGGGACAGACACAGGAACGAAGAAGGACACATGCCGGCCAGCCTAAGTGTTCCAGAGCAGTAGCAAGCTACCATGGCTCAGCGGTAACACTAGGAGACATTTCCCGGTAAGAGAGGCTACTAAAGATAAACAACTAGGTAGTCAGATCCCACACATACCAAGCATTTCAATCATACACACAATATGCTCGATATGTGCAAATATAACGAAGCATCACAACATGACTCTACGATACAAGTACTTTATTTAAGGCTCAGAGAGCCATACATAACATACACAAAGGTACGGGTCTCACGACCCAACATTCAAGTCATACAGTCATACAAACCAGCAGCGGAAGTAACTTGTCTGAGTACAGACAACTAGTAAAATAAAAGAGACTTGGAAAGCCTAGCTATACTACATGGTCCTTCACAAGCTCAGGGTCACCACATGGGCCTTTAGCCTACTCGTTGATGTCAACGTCTACATAGAACCCATCAGAAGGGGTTGCAGCGTCTTATGTAAAATGTAAATTATAGCAACATGAGTACAAAGGTACTCAGCAAGACTTACATCAGATCCTACATACATGCATATTATCAAGAAGGGTTGGTGGAGTTATTGCAGCAAGCCAGCTTTGACTCTTGGCTAGACTATCCTACGATACTCCAACTTGAAATGGTTTTGCGCACACGAGTCCACTACTCACCACTTCAATACACTACCGAGGATCCACCTCCGTCTCCCTATGGAAGAGCCATCCTCGGCACTCACACTTATCTTGAGGCTTTTAGCAGTTTCCATTTACTTGTCTATGAACTGTATAGGCAACCAAGTAGTCCTTTACTGCGGACGCGGCTATTCGAATAGATCATGTTAACCCTGCAGGGGTGTACTTCTTCATACACGCTCTCACCACTTACCGTCGTTTACACGACATGTACTCGGCAACCTTCAAGCGGAAGCCCAACGTGGGTGTCGGCCACGACCTACCTAATCACCTAAGCCTCCAGTCCAGGTTTATCGCCTATTCAGGTTTCATCCGCAGGGAGTCCGGCCGAGGTTTCCCATACGGCCCCGAACGATGTGAACAGGGTTCCCGAGATACCTAACGGGTATTCGGTACACCCGGCCACGTACCTACCGCATCACAGCCCACCCCTACGGTCAGCGCTGTCCACGGCCTCCAGTAGGCTACAAACACCAGAAACTACTTGCAACTCCTGGACGGAGAACTAGGGTGAATAAGAAGCCGAGAGGGTCCATTGGTTTCGGGCCCAATGCATGGTAGTAGCTGTATCTTAAATCACACATACAGATCTCAGTGCTTAAGGTCGGCTTCAATGAAACAACCCACCATGTACTCCTACATGGCCTCTCATCGATACCTTTACCAAATCGTGTTCACCACACCACTCTCATTACCGACATAATCATTTCACTCTAGCCCATCACCCAGATGAACCAGACCTGACACGACTCTAAGCATAGCAGGCATAGCAAGGTAGGAACAACACATACATATGGCTCATACAACTCCTACACATGCTAGTGGGTTTCACCTAGTTACTGTGGCAATGACAGGTCATGCAGAGGAAATGGGTTCAACTACCGTAGCACACAGCAGTTTGAAACGCGTTGTCTTAATGCAGTAAAAGAGAGCAGGAGCGAGAACATGGGATTGTATCGATATGATCAAATGGTTGGTTGCTTGCCTGATGGGTCGATGCACTGATACGGTTCTTCGTTAGGGTAATCACGGTACTCCTCGGAGGCAGAACCTGTCGCAAAGGACACCGATACACAACCATCACCAAACAATGTGCAACAATATGATGCATGCATGAAACATGGCAATATGAGTGTGTTGGGCTAATGCAACTAAGACCAGAAGGGTTTGAACCAATTTGAATCAAAGATTCAAATTTCAAACTCAAACATGGCCTTTTAAAGTGCTTTTCCTTGTTCTGCATTAAACATCAAGTTAACTTGTTTAGTCATGCATGAAAATAGTACAGATGGATAGATTGGATTTTCTGATCATTTTTCATATATAATTTGTCTGATTTGGAGTTACAGAATAAAAGTTATGAATTTTTGAAGTTTAAATAATATTCTGGAATTTCCTGATTTAATTAAATCCAGAAATATATATATTGCGCCAGCATGACGTCAGCACGACGTCAGCGGTCAACTGCGGCTGGCTGGGGTCAAACCTGACGTGTGGGGTCCACACGTCAGTGACAGGGGGGTTTAACAGAGGTTAGTTTAATCCTAATTAAGGGTTAGTGGCGCTGGGGCCCACTGGTCAGTGTCAGGGGGGGTTAATTAACAATGATTAGCGCTAATCTAACCACCTGGCCGACGGGGCCCACGCGTCAGTGACCCTGGGGGGGGGGTCAAACCCCAGGTCAAACAGGTCAAACCCGCCGGCGGTTAGTCGCCGGCGAGGTCCGCGGCGTACAAGTGCCTCGGGTTTCCTCTGTGGTGCTCCAAACGGCGTGCGGCTAGGTGCGTTGGAAAGCCAGCTCGATGGCGCGTCGGGCGGTGGCCGTGGCTGGGCCTGGGGTGGCCGGAGTCGACGGCGGCGAGCTCGGCTGCGGCCGCCGGGGTTCGGTCGTGCACGGGAACGTGGTTGGAGCTCGAAGGCGAGCGAAGCAAGGCGCTAGGGATGCTCTACGGGGCCTTACGGACTCGTTGGACTCGCCGGGGTGACCAAATGGTCACCGGAGCTGCGTCGACGGCGAGCTCGGCGACGGTGGAGGTTCGGCCGTGGTGGGAAACGGGGTTACGGCGCGGGAACGAGGGGGAAAAGAGGGGGAAACGGTGGCGGAGCTCACCGCGGTTGCAGTGGGCGTCGAAGCGGGCTCGGGGACGCGCTGGAGACGGCGAATCGACGGCGATGATGGTCGGAGCCCGAGGAGGAAGACGATGGCGACGGCGGCTCCACAGGGCGTCCGGCGTCTTGTGGCTTGACGAGGAGGTAGAGGGGGTCGCGGCGGAGCTGGGGAGCGTGTCGGGGAGGCGAGGGGAGGC